ATAAACTAGTTCATAGGCTAGTCAATAGATTATTAAAAATATTCGATGGACTAGTATATAGACTAGTCAATAAAATTTATAATAGAATAGTATATACACTAGTCCATTGACTACTTTGGTCAATATACTAATCATTTGTCTAGTCAATAGACTTATTAATAGACTAGTCAATAGACTATTCCATAAACGTATCTACATACTAATCCATAGCTTAGTCAAAAGCCTAGTTAATAGACTAATCCATATATTAGTTAATAGATCAGTTTATAGACTAGTCCATACACTAGTTTGTAGACTAGTACATAGTCTAGTCCACGAACTAGTTAAGAGATTTGCTACTATACCAAAAAAGTACTTTTTATCCTAAAAAGAGTACTATTTGTAAAAGTTAATGACATTTTCAAATTTAAATTTTCCATACCTGGTACATATTCTTACTCATTTGTTGTTGTTGCTATAAATGTGTTACTCATTTATTGCATTTTCTTATGTACAAATGTATGTTTGTTTATATGTAGATGAGCTTTTAATTAGACAAAGAGACATCAAGCCATTTATTTACTCAATCACGGCTCTTGTATTTTGTTTAAGGTGGGGTGAGTTTTCTTATCAGTTTTTCAAATTCAAAATATACATGTAGGATTTTTATTTGTATTTGTGAATTCTTCGCAATATGACGTGCTTTATGTCAAGCACGTATTATAAGCTACATTTTTTTAGTCTGGATTCAGTTGAACTGCCCGTCCGTCCGTACCTTTATCCATCATATAAACCTTAAAGAAAAAACTGTTATACACTGATTTTTCTATAGAAAAACTGTTATACAGTGATTTTTCCATAGAAATGATTGTTATATAAACTGTTATATTAATATTTTCTATCAAAAACTGTTCTACACAAAAATTTTTATAGAAAAAAGTTTTATATTCCATGTTTTTATAGAAATAACTGGTATACATACATTTTTCTTAAAAAAAAAAACTGTTATATATACATTTTTCTATAGAAAAAAACTGTTATACATAAATTTATCTATAGAAAAAACTGCAAAGCACATTTTTTTATAGAAAATTCTATTTTACACACATTTTTCTATTAAAAAAACTGTTATACACAACAATTTCTATGTTACACAAAATATTTTTATGGAAAACACTGTTATACAAACTGTTATCCTAAGTTATATATAGAAAAAAACTGCTATATAGAAATGTTACTACAGAAAAAACTGTTATACACACATTTTTAATAGAAAAAAAAAAAACAGTTATACACAAATTTACATATAGAAAAACGTTTGCAAATTTGTGTATAAAACAAACTGTTATACATTTTTCAATAGAAAATAACTGTTATACACAAATTTTCATATAGGAAAACGTTTGCAGATAAACTTGTCTTCAAAACAAACTGTTATACACATTTTTTTATGGAAAAGATTATTACCTACACAAAATTTTTATATAGAAAAAATAACTGTTATACATAAATTTACATTGAAAAAAATTGTTATATATAACTTTTTCTAAAGAAAAATCTTACATATTTGCATAAAATTTTATATTTTTTATGAAAACAAATTCCGATTTCCTTTCATATTAATTAAATGTCCTTTTCACCCACTTACTTACAACAAAGTAGATTAATTTATTTAAAGTCAACAAGACATGAAAAATTTTAGTATAAAAATTATAAATTGTAAATATGCTAAAATAAAAAAAACAACAATATAAATAAATAAAAATGAACCGCAAAGCTCATTTTTCTTAAAAAAAAAAGAAAATTTTCATATAAAAAAAAATTCTAATAAAAATGTCGTGCCGCAGATGCTTGTTAAGAGGCGTAAATGAAACAGAGTACAAATTTAAAATATGGTCATTTATATAAAAAGGCAATTTTTTTAACATGTTTTTTATTTTTCTGTTAAATAAATATGTAAATTAAAATGACAAGCTTCAAGTAGTTGTTGTTTATTTTTTTTTCTGTTGGATTTTAAAGCCCCAAAAGGATTTTAAAATGCAGACAATTTGTTATTTCTCTTACTCTCGTTTCATTAGACTACTTTTGGGGGGGACAGCAGTAAATTAGTGAGGATTTAAAGTTAATAAATGTTGGTTTAGTTAAAATTTTAAGAATTTTATAAATTGAGTAAAATAAATTTTTAGGTTTTAGTCCGCAAAATTTATTAAGTAAACAATATTTTTATGAGAAGACAGATTTTATTTAAATTGAAATGGAATACTTAAGATTTGCACTAAACATTCTACGGAGATCCATACAGATACAAATACAGATCAGGCTATTGATGAGACTACAGAATTTACTATAGACTAGACTATAGACTAGACTATAGACTAGACTATAGACTAGACTATAGACTAGACTATAGACTAGACTATAGACTAGACTATAGACTAAACTATAGACTAGACTATAAACTAGACTATAGACTAGACTATAGACTAGACTATAGACTAGATTATAGACTAGACTATAAACTAGACTATAGACTAGACTATAGACTAGACTATAGATTAGACTATAGACTAGACTATAGACTAGACTATAGACTAGACTATAGACTAGACTATAGACTAGACTAGAGACTAGACTATAGACTAGACTACAGACTAGACTATAGACTAGACTATGGACTAGACTATAGACTAGACTATAGACTAGACTATAGACTAGACTATAGACTAGACTATAGACTAGACTAGACTAGACTATGGACTAGACTAGACTAGACTATAGACTAGACTATAGACTAGACTATAGACTAGACTATAGAATAGACTAGACTATAGACTAGACTATAGACTAGACTATAGACTAGACTATAGACTAGACTATAGACTAGACTATAGACTAGACTATAGACTAGACTATAGACTAGACTATAGACTAGACTATAGACTAGACTATAGACTAGACTATAGACTAGACTATAGACTAGACTATTGACTAGACTATTGACTAGACTATAGACTAGACTATAGACTAGACTATAGACTAGACTATAGACTAGACTATAGACTACTATAGACTAGACTATAGACTAGACTATAGACTAGACTATAGACTGGACTATAGACTAGACTATAGACTAGACTATAGACTAGACTATAGACTAGACTATAGACTAGACTATAGACTAGACTATAGACTAGACTATAGACTAGACTATAGACTAGACTATAGACTAGACTATAGACTAGACTATAGACTAGACTATAGACTAGACTATAGACTAGACTATAGACTAGACTATAGACTAGACTATAGACTAGACTATAGACTAGACTATAGACTAGACTATAGACTAGACTATAGACTAGACTAGACTAGACTATAGACTAGACTATAGACTAGACTATAGACTAGACTATAGACTAGACTATAGACTAGACTATAGACTAGACTATAGACTAGACTATAGACTAGACTATAGACTAGACTATAGACTAGACTATAGACTAGACTATGACGACTATAGACTAGACTATAGACTAGACTATAGACTAGACTATAGACTAGACTATAGACTAGACTATAGACTAGACTATAGACTAGACTATAGACTAGACTATAGACTAGACTATAGACTAGACTATAGACTAGACTATAGACTAGACTATAGACTAGACTATAGACTAGACTATAGACTAGACTATAGACTAGACTATAGACTAGACTATAGACTAGACTATAGACTAGACTATAGACTAGACTATAGACTAGACTATAGACTAGACTAGACTAGACTAGACTATAGACTAGACTATAGACTAGACTAGACTAGACTATAGACTAGACTATAGACTAGACTAGACTATAGACTAGACTAGACTATAGACTAGACTATAGACTAGACTAGACATAGACTAGACTATAGACTAGACTATAGACTAGACTATAGACTAGACTATAGACTAGACTATAGACTAGACTATAGACTAGACTATAGACTAGACTATAGACTAGACTATAGACTAGACTATAGACTAGACTATAGACTAGACTATAGACTAGACTATAGACTAGACTATAGACTAGACTATAGACTAGACTATAGACTAGACTATAGACTAGACTATAGACTAGACTATAGACTAGACTATAGACTAGACTATAGACTAGACTATAGACTAGACTAGACTATAGACTAGACTATAGACTAGACTATAGACTAGACTATAGACTAGACTATAGACTAGACTATAGACTAGACTATAGACTAGACTATAGACTAGACTATAGACTAGACTATAGACTAGACTGTAGACTAGACAAAATTTCGGGTTTTGAATAAATAAACTGAAGTTTTAGTGAAAAATCAGATTATCTGAAAATATGCTGTTTTTGAAAATCAAATTTTTACTAAAAAAATAAAATTTCGTAAAAAATCAAAATCTTAGTAAAAACATCAAATTTTTCTGAAAAATGGAAATTTTATTGAATCATCAGAAAATTAAACTTTTAATAAAAAATCAATTTTTTTGGTTTATTATGGTGGATTATTATAGTGGAAATTTGATATTTTAGTAATTTTTCGAATTTTCGAATTTTAAGTAAAAAACCGAATTTTTAATGAAAATCAGATTTGGAGTGAAAATCGTGTTTTGTTTGAAGACAATACAGTTTTAAGTAATAAATTTAAACAACATTAAATCGAAATTGATACCGGGGTTTTGTTTGATATTTTATAAATAATTTTTAATAGTAAGATAATGCATTAAATTATAACTTACCATATTAAAATGGATTTAAAAACTCCATCTCTAGTTAAAAGATTTAATTTTTTAGTACAGCATTAAAATTTGTTGAGAACATTAACTTTTTCAAGGCTTTTTGATTGCATCTTAAGGTTTCTTTATCAAAATCTATAAAATTTTGTTAAAAATAGAAGAAACTTTTATTGAAAACAAAAACCGATTGTTTAGTTTATAAAATTACCAAAAACTACTAGAATACTACCATAAAATTTATATAAAAAGTTGTTTAAATAAAATTTTTAATAATTATTTTTTCTAAGCCGTATAAAAAATATATATAAAACTAAAACTTAAAATGTTTCTTTTACAAGGTGGTTGGTTATAAAATACAAAAAAAAAATCTACTAATTATTATAAGTTAACAATTACGAATAAATTTTAAAAAAATGTTAATTTCTTTTTTAAAAAGAAATAAACATTTTCAAATTACGTTCAGTTTTTTAAACATAAAAATCCAAATTTTCTTTTATAAAAATTTTGATTTTTTTTTAGAAATTACTAAATATTTAAACCACACCCGCGCCAAATCTTTTAATATTTACAATAAATTACAAAAGAAAGGATTCTAATGAAAGTTAAAGCTTAATTTATAATTACCATTTAGCCAAAGGAAAAGCGGGATAGGGACTTTTATCGATAATATTTAAACGTCTTAAAACGTCAGCTTTATGTTGACTGGAATTTAAGCCATAAACATCTAAAGGCACCATATCGAATTTACTCAATCTAAAAATCATAGAAATTGTATGAATAACTTTAATATCATTTTAAAAATATTTAATATTTTCTTTTACCTTCCACCTGATATGTCTTGCAGGAATTTGAAATAACTTTGTCTTAAATTACGAGCCTCCAAAATGCCCGCATGGAATAACACAGCCGTACAGAAGGCATATAAGAACATAGTAAAGCCTGGTATGTGGGGAAGTTTCTTCTTATCGATGCCCAAATTGTAAACAACCTGATAGGAAGTATTCGAATTAAATGCTTGAAAGTTATTGAGAATGTAGTGATTGTTGTCTTACCTGCAGCATTTTCCACATGACATATAAAGCTACTGTAACATCGGGATAATAGGCAAAGCTAATGCTGCCTACCATACCAGCTGGTATGGCAAAACGAGGATCATCACGATTGAAGATATGACGAAGGCCACAGGAAACGGACTATGAAATAAAAAATATTTTTTTCCATTTATATTTTCTGGTGGATATATGTATGTACATACATATTTCTGTCATGTAAAGCTTTTTCGTAAAAAATATTTATAACATATATTTTTTATAAATTTTTTTTTATTAGATTTTGCAAAAAATTATTTCTTTTAAGTTTTTTTTTTTTTCAGTACAAACGTTTCAAATAAAAGCTTTTATGTACAACTTTTTTCAATATTTTTGCTATAAAAAGCTTTTTATTAAAAGTTTTTATTAAATGCTTTTATTCATAAAAATTTTCCAAAAAAGATCTTCAGATAAAAAGCCTTTTCTTATAAAAGTTTTACACGAAAGGAAGCTTTTATCCATAAAAAGTTTTTTCGTAAATGCTTCCACACGAAAAAGCTTATTTCTAATTTTTCCTTAAAATGCTTTATTTTTGTTTTTTTTTCGAAATAATAATAAAAGATTATTTTCCGAAAAACTTTTTAAGGAAAAAGTTTTTCTTCAAAAAAAGCTTTTTCCAAAAAAAACCTTCTTCGTAAGATTTGTTCAAAAATGCTTTTCCAAAAAAGCTATTTTCGTAAGATTTGTATTTATAAAGAATAGGCTTTTTCATAATAAATTTTATATGTAAAAATTTTTTATAAGAATTATAAAAGCTTTTCGCAGAAAAAGCTTTTTTCTAATTTTTTTGTAAAAGTTTATTTTCAGTAGAATGCTATTATCTTTAAAGAAAAAACTTTTTCCAAAAAAACTCTCTTCGTAAATTTTGTTCAAAAAAGCTTTTTTCCAAAAATGCTATTTTCGTAAGATTTGTATTTATATAGTATCTTTAAAGAAAAAACTTTTTCCTTAAAAATTTTTCTTCAAAAAAACTTTTTCCAAAAAAACTCTCTTCGTAAATTTTGTTCAAAAAAGCTTTTTTCCAAAAATGCTATTTTCGTAAGATTTGTATTTATATAGAAAAGTATTTTTCCATAATAAGTTTTATCAATAAAATATTTTTATAAAACAAGTTTATTTTCAGATTTTCTCTTAAAAAGCTTTATTTATGTTTTTTTCGAAAAAGCTTTTTTAATAAAAGATTATTTTCAGAAAGGATTATCATCAAAGAAAAAACTTTTTCCTTAAAAATTTTTCTTCAAAAAAGCTTTTTCCAAAAAAGAACTTTTTTTTTCTTTGTTTGTATTAATATAAAATGCTTCATAAAAGCTTTTAAAAAAAATCTGGTAAAGCTTTTGTCATTAAAAGCTTTCTCCAAAAATAACAGTTTCCTCAGTTTTATGAAATTAAAAGCTTTCATCTTTCTTCTTATAAGAAATCAAAGTTTAAAAAAAAAAGCTTTTACATAAAAAGTGGAGAAAAATCATTTCAATTCAATTTCCAACTCACCTTATACAAAAACGAAAATGAGCCCAAAAATAGACCCAAATTTAAAGTCTGCTTATTAAATATCGTCTTCTTCCAGTTCACTTTGTTCTGAGCGATTCTCTTAACATTCAACAAAAGCTTCAAGGCCACCTGTAAACCTATGCCACCCACCATGGGTTTTAAACCACCCATCACAGCATTATGAACACAACTCGATCGATGAGGACAGCTGGCATGTTTGCCTTTTAGTTTATCTACAAGTCGACTATAAACTTGTACCCAACCATTGATGGTATTCAAATTAACTGGCGGTCTAGATCTGTTTGTTTGTGGCACATCTGTGCTATCACTTACTTCTGTTGGCTTCAGTGGACCCTCTTCTGCTTTGCCCACAAATATACGTAAAATATCAAATAAAGAATCACGGCAGGAAGTTTTATGTAAACCTAATCTATATAAATATAATAAAATCGAGATACTAGCACCGAATAGCAAAACCTGGCCATTGGGTATGGACTTAACCCAGCCACGTGACTCAGCCATATTCCACAAAGTCTCGGTAGCCACATTGGCCACATACAGGGCCAAGAGAGGACGTCTTTGTGGTCTTTCCACTAAAATTGCACTAAAACTGCCCAAGAAACAGGGCCAAAAGGCCACAGTGGAGAAATAGTAACGACCCAACATATTGCGCAACAGACAATTGAACATTATAAAAGTATAAGCATTTGTTACTAAAAATGCTGTGGATTGTAAAATGCCCATTACCATTTTACGTAAATCCTTCACACTGGGTATTTTGTGACGCATTATCATGGAAAGCTAAAATTAACAATTGAGTTGTGAATTGATTTTTAATTTGTCCTAAAAATTACTTACCAAATATACCATGGAATAGACTCTTAAACAATAGGGCGTTGAGGCAAATATTAAACCAGCTGAGGCATTAACACATTTATCAGTCCAGGGATGCTGGAACTGTTGACAGGTACATAGTACCGCCGCATTTGTCATTTTACTTTGTACAGTCATTGTTTTGTTTTGCAATTGTGTAGAATTAAGGTCTAACAAAGTAAAGAAATACTAAAAAAGAAATTTCAATGAAAAATAATAAAAATTAATAAATTTTATAAAAACACTTAACAATTGAGTACAAATTGATGTATTTTTCATGATGTTGTTGTTACTTTAACTATGCAAATTTTATCACAAAAAATATAAATAACTGCTACTGTTGTGAATTTAATTCAGCAACATGTCATGAGTACAAGGGTCATTTTAATTTCATTTAATCCAATAAATTTGCTTTTATGTAGTATTTAGATAAGATATGAATGGATATTGTGAATTATTAAGTGCAAACAAACTAAAGCGGAAAATAATGTGTACTTTTAATACAAACAGATTAAGTGCAACATATGCCACTTCAGTAAAGACAATAAGACGCAGCTGATAGAACATATTAAAGCTGCAATAATAAAAAGTTGCAGTTCAGCTCTAGTTTAGTTCTCGTTCAGTTCTAGTTTAGTTCTAGTTCAGTTCTAGTTCAGTTCTAGTTCAGTTCAAGTTCAGTTCTCGTTCAGTTCTCGTTCAGTTCTAGTTCAGTTCTAGTTCAGTTCTAGTTCAGTTCTAGTTCAGTTCTAGTTCAGTTCTAGTTCAGTTCTAGTTCAGTTCTAGTTCAGTTCTAGTTCAGTTCTAGTTCAGTTCTAGTTCAGTTCTAGTTCAGTTCTAGTTCAGTTCTAGTTCAGTTCTAGTTCAGTTCTAGTTCAGTTCTAGTTCAGTTCTAGTTCAGTTTCTAGTTCAGTTCTAGTTCAGTTCTAGTTCAGTTCTAGTTCAGTTCGAGTTCAGTTCTAGTTCAGTTCTAGTTCAGTTCTAGTTCAGTTCTAGTTCAGTTCTAGTTCAGTTCTAGTTCAGTTCTAGTTCAGTTCTAGTTCAGTTCTAGTTCAGTTCTAGTTCAGTTCTAGTTCAGTTCTAGTTCAGTTCTAGTTCAGTTCTAGTTCAGTTCTAGTTCAGTTCTAGTTCAGTTCAGTTTCTAGTTCAGTTTCTAGTTCAGTTCTAGTTCAGTTCTAGTTCAGTTCTAGTTCAGTTCTAGTTCAGTTCTAGTTCAGTTCTAGTTCAGTCAGTTCAGTTCCAGTTCAGTTCTATTTCAGTTCTAGTTCAGTTCTAGTTCAGTTCTAGTTCAGTACTAGTCAGTTATAGTTCAGTTCTAGTTCAGTTCTAGTTCAGTTCTAGTTCAGTTCTAGTTCAGTTCTAGTTCAGTTCTAGTTCAGTTCAAGTTCAGTTCTAGTTCAGTTCTAGTTCAGTTCTAGTTCAGTTCCAGTTCAGTTCTATTTCAGTTCTATTTCAGTTCTAGTTCAGTTCTAGTTCAGTTCTAGTTCAGTATTAGTTTCAGTACTAGTTCAGTTCTAGTTCAGTTCTAGTTCAGTTCTAGTTCAGTTCTAGTTCAGTTCTAGTTCAGTTCTAGTTCAGTTCTAGTTCAGTTCTAGTTCAGTTCCAGTTCAGTTCTAGTTCAGTTCTAGTTCAGTTCTATTTCAGTTCTAGTTCAGTTCTAGTTCAGTTCTAGTTCAGTACTAGTTCAGTTCTAGTTCAGTTCTATTTCAGTTCTATTTCTATTTCAGTTCTTTCAGTTCTAGTTCAGTTCTAGTTCAGTTCTAGTTCAGTTCTAGTTCAGTACTAGTTCAGTACTAGTTCAGTTCTAGTTCAGTTCTAGTTCTAGTTCAGTTCTAGTTCAGTTCTGTAGTTCAGTTCAGTTTCAGTTCAGTTCCAGTTCAGTTCTAGTTCAGTTCTAGTTCAGTTCTAGTTCAGTTCTAGTTCAGTTCTAGTTCAGTTCTAGTTCAGTTCTAGTTCAGTTCTAGTTCAGTTCTAGTTCAGTTCTAGTTCAGTTCTAGTTCAGTTCTAGTTCAGTTCTAGTTCAGTTCTAGTTCAGTTCTAGTTCAGTTCTAGTTCAGTTCTAGTTCAGTTCTAGTTCAGTTCTAGTTCAGTTCTAGTTCAGTTCTAGTTCAGTTCTAGTTCAGTTCTAGTTCAGTTCTAGTTCTAGTTCAGTTTCTAGTTCAGTTCTAGTTCAGTTCTAGTTCAGTTCTAGTTCAGTTCTAGTTCAGTTCTAGTTCAGTTCTAGTTCAGTTCTAGTTCAGTTCTAGTTTAGTTCTAGTTCAGTTCTAGTTCAGTTCTAGTTCAGTTCTAGTTCAGTTCTAGTTCAGTTCTAGTTCAGTTCTAGTTCAGTTCTAGTTCAGTTCTAGTTCAGTTCTAGTTCAGTTCTAGTTCAGTTCTAGTTCAGTTCTAGTTCAGTTCTAGTTCAGTTCTAGTTCAGTTCTAGTTCAGTTCTAGTTCAGTTCTAGTTCAGTTCTAGTTCAGTTCTAGTTCAGTTCTAGTTCAGTTCTAGTTCAGTTCTAGTTTAGTTCTAGTTCAGTTCTAGTTCAGTTCAGTTCTAGTTCAGTTCTAGTTTAGTTCTAGTTTAGTTCTACTTCAGTTCTAATTCAATTCTCGTTCTTATATCCGAAATTTTTGAAATCAATTAAAATTATTATTCAACTTAATAACCAGTAGCACATTTCCATTAATTAATACCTTTTCTTTAAACAAAATTTTATTTAATAGCTTTTAACCGTTTATTTATTTTCTATATTCTAATTCAACGCCTTAAAATTATAAACTAAAATTTAAATTTTTCCTATATAAGTCCGAAAACATAAACTGCCTTTTAAATAAAAAATGTGTGCTTTAATCTATTTGAACTGGATAAGATAAGCAAAATAACCCACTAACAGTATTTATTAAACCAATCTAACAATGTTGATTGTAATCCCCTATTGATAATAATATTTTTTTTACAAATCATTTCCATTTGAAATCTACTTTTAAAATAGAGTTCATTAAAGCCAAAATAATGAAACACAGCTGCTTTATTTATTAAATTCAAAGATAACATTGGTGCTTAATAAAATTATCAATTATTTGTTATAAATATAAATTTTGTTTTTATTTTGGGGATTCAGGGGGGTAGAGATAGATAATGAAATATTACTGCATAATAGTAATTTATTTTATTTAGTTTGAATATTTTATAAAAATTTGTGGCGTATTCCCTCAAGGTTGTTTCAAACTACAAGAACATTTTGCATTTTGCAGATAGTAGAATGTGTTTAGTTAATTATTTGTATAAATTATTTGGTTTGGATTTTTTTACAAACAAGTGATTAGAAATAATTCTAGGTTTTAAAGGTAAATTTCTTGGAATTCATTTTAAATTCAGTTTGAAGTATGGCCTTTCGGTTATATTGCAGCTGCTAGTTCATTACTAAAACAAATATAGGAAATCACAATTTTTGTCGTTTAAAAAAATTTAAATATTCATGGATTTGTTTTTCAAAATTTAAATAAATTTCATTAAATAAGAAATAAACGCGCTAACGTTAGACTTTCATATAAAAGCATTTTATGTCTTGATAAAAAAAAACATACGATTTGTGCTAATAAGGTCAATGAACTATTTGACAAACTAATTTATTAAATTAATTTCATTTGGCAAAATTTTGGAAATCATTTGCATATTATTTCAAGTTTTAAGTCTTGTTCTAATTTAGTTCTGGTTCAGTTCTATTTGAGATCTTGTTCAGTTTTAGTGCAGTTCTAGTTCGGTTATAGTTCAGTTCTAGTTACATTGTAGTTAAGTTGTAGTTCTGTTCTCGTTCCAATTCAGTCCTAGTTTAATTCAGCTCTAGTTCAGTTCTAGTTCAGTTCTCGATCAGTTCTAGTTCAGTTATAGTTCAGTTCTAGTTCAGTTCTGGTTCAGTTCTAGTTCAGTTCTAGTTCAGTTCTAGTTCAGTTCTAGTTCAGTTCTAGTTCAGTTCTAGTTCAGTTCTAGTTCAGTTCTAGTTCAGTTCTAGTTCAGTTCTAGTTCAGTTCTAGTTCAGTTCTAGTTCAGTTCTAGTTCAGTTCTAGTTCAGTTCTAGTTCAGTTCTAGTTCAGTTCTAGTTCAGTTCTAGTTCAGTTCTAGTTCAGTTCTAGTTCAGTTCTAGTTCAGTTCTAGTTCAGTTCTAGTTCAGTTCAGTTCTAGTTCTAGTTCAGTTCTAGTTCAGTTCTAGTTCAGTTCTAGTTCAGTTCTAGTCAGTTCAGGTTCAGTTCTAGTTCAGTTCTAGTTCAGTTATAGTTCAGTTCTAGTTCAGTTCTAGTTCAGTTCTAGTTCAGTTCTAGTTCAGTTCTAGTTCAGTTCTAGTTCAGTTCTAGTTCAGTTCTAGTTCAGTTCTAGTTTCAGTTCTAGTTCAGTTCTAGTTCAGTTCTAGTTCAGTGCTAATTCAGTTCTAGTTCAGTTCTAGTTCAGTTCTAGTTAAGTTCTAGTTCAGTTCTAGTTCAATTCTTGTTCTTATTTTTAAGTATTTATTTTTCGGTTCAATCCATTTGCGATCTTTTTTATTAGCTTTATTTCAAAGATTATTTACCGATTTATTTAGAACTTTTTTTTAGATTTACATACTTATTATGACTAGGTTTTAGGGTTAAGTTAGAATAAAATAAAATTGCAATTTTATTTAAAATTTTATTACGATTCTCAACCGCCAAATTTTACTCATTGTACTTTAATGAATTTATAATTTATTTAAAATTGTTTTTACCTAAACAAATTTAATTTGTTAGTTCTTTATAAGTATTAATGCTCTATAAAATAACAAAATTAATAAATTTGTTTAAAATTCTCCTGAAATCTTCTTTATAAACAATAAAATTAACATTGACAAATGTTTGAGTTACTAGAGGTACTAATATTAAATTGAGTACTTTATACCTACCTATAATTTTCAAATTTGATTAAATAATTTTGTAAAATGTTTAATAGGTACCTAGAATAACACATAGTTTAATAAAATGTATGTATTTTCATAGATATGTACCTATTACACCTAATTTCAATACATAGGTATTAACACTTTTGTGAGTCATTCTAAGAACCATATTTAACCTTAATATACATATTTTCATATTAAATAAACTACAATAAATTTAATTGGATTTATAACAATTATTTAATATTTTAATAAAGATAAATAATTTCAATAATAAAATCTCTAAAAAATTAAATAAAAACAAAGTTCAAGGTCTTAAGCCACTGTACCGGTATTACAGACACAGGCATTACAGCAATAAAAGTTAAAACAAAACCAGATTAATTATTATAATTATGATTGTTTTCGTATCAAAAACCACAAAATAGATGGAATATTACAAAAATAAAAACAAAATACTCTCTCCCAATATATTTTATCAATAATAAAAAATATATATGTATAATATGACTGATAGTCTAATTGGTTGTTTGCAGTAAAAAACAAAAACAATTTATCGCACCATCCCATACAAAAAACAAACACACAAATTTATGTTTGGTTTTCTTTATGAGTTTGTTTTTTTTTTTCTGATTAATTTGGAAATTGATTATTACCGTCAAATAAACTTACGTTGGTTTTTAAACAGGTTCTTTTTGTAGATTAAATTGAACCACCGAAACTTAATAAAACAATTTTAAAGCATTTTTTGATTATTATTTTTACTATTTTTAATTAAACACTTTTGTGAAAAAAAAAACCTTTCCTATAATTCTGTTATTGCTTTTGTGGACCACTCACTTTTTGGCATTTGGTTTTATAAGAATAATATAATAATTTAAACTTTTAATTTTATTTTGTTTATTGTGTTCACTAAGCCATTTAGTATTGCATTAATATGTATATGTACTTTAATAATTAATTACACTTAATTATTGCTTAAGTTTAAGCTTTTATTTGTTGGTTGAAAATTTTTTTGTTTCTCTTCATTTGACATTTCTTAATACGAACAGCTGTTCAAATATGTGGTGTGTTGTTATGGTGAGCTAGTGTGGTGGTGTTCAGTAAAAATTTAAACAATCATTGAGTGACAAACTACTCAACTATAGAGGGGCGCTGGTGCTAAATAAAAAAAAAATATAATGAGTTGTTAATAAGTACTAACTAACTAACTAACTAACTAACTAACTAACTAACTAACTACTAACTACTAACTAACTAACTAACTAACTACACTAACTAACTAACTAACTAACTAACTAACTAACTAACTAACTAACTAACTACTAACTAACTACTACTAACTAACTAACTAACTAACTAACTAACTAACTAACTAACTAACTAACTAACTAACTAACTACTAACTAACTAACTAACTAACTAACTAACTAACTAACTAACTAACTAACTAACTAACTAACTAACTAACTAACTAACTAACTAACTAACTAACTAACTAACTAACTAACTACTAACTAACTAACTAACTAACTAACTAACTAACTACTAACTAACTAACTAACTAACTACTAACTAACTAACTAACTAACTAACTAACTAACTAACTAACTAACTAACTAACTAACTAACTAACTAACTAACTAACTAACTAACTAACTAACTACTAACTAACTAACTAACTAACTAACTAACTAACTAACTAACTAACTAACTAACTAACTAACTAACTAACTAACTAACTAACTAACTAACTAACTAACTAACTAACTAACTAACTAACTAACTAACTAACTAACTAACTAACTAACTAACTAACTAACTACTAACTAACTAACTAACTAACTAACTAACTAACTAACTAACTAACTAACTAACTAACTACTAACTAACTAACTAACTAACTAACTAACTAACTAACTAACTAACTAACTAACTAACTACTAACTAACTACTAACTAACTAACTAACTAACTAACTAACTAACTAACTAACTAACTAACTAACTAACTAACTAACTAACTAACTAACTAACTAACTAACTAACTAACTAACTAACTACTAACTAACTAACTAACTAACTACTAACTAACTAACTAACTAACTAACTAACTAACTAACTAACTAACTAACTACTAACTAACTAACTAACTACTAACTAACTAACTAACTAACTAACTAACTAACTAACTAACTAACTAACTACTAACTAACTAACTAACTAACTAACTAACTAACTAACTAACTAACTAACTAACTAACTAACTAACTAAGTAACTAACTAACTAACTAACTAACTAACTAACTAAGAAACAAAAACTTTTTAAATACTTAAATTATAATTTTAAGGTAATAATCCCACTCTTCTGACAATTCAATAAACATCGTGTTTCTTTAAAATTGTATAAATATGTCACATCTGTCATTTGCTGCAACTCACAAAAAATTCAATTGTCATTTTCAAATATCAAACAAAAATAAATTTTAATAGAAAAATCTCCCAAAAAAAATATAGCTTAAAATATAACGTATAAAATGTGAAAAAAAAACTTAGAAAATATATGAAGTAAACTAAAATCACATACGGAGATTATTAAAAGTCTTTAGAAAATCATTGACCCATATCAAAAATACACCTGAGTATTTGTTGTTTTTTCTTAAACATATTTTTTTCCCAACTTCCTTTGTTTCTGCTTGCGTTGTGCTGCTTCTTTAAGGATTTACTTACTATACACAGGATGGCTTAAGGGAACAACAGAAAGAATAGAAAACAAATGAGGAAAATACTTAAATAGAAATAGAGAAATCATTTGAAAATAAACTTAAAACGACAGTGTGCCAGTTGTAAGTTCACCTTGAATAAGAAAAAGAAAATGTTGTTTTCTTTTGAGAATTTTTATATATTTTTTTGGCAAAAAATAAAAAGAAAAGATGATAAAACAGTAACAATGAAGTGAAATATTGGTTTGAGATGAATTTAAATGTGCCCTAAGGTATGCTATAGTATTTATTTTGCCATATAAATGAAAAATAACGGAAAATAAAAGGGAAGTTTGTACGAGTTTAATAAAATAGGTGTGTGCATTAGTTGGTAGTATTGAAAAAGTATACAGTCAGTGAGTTAAAATATTTTTAAATGTTTACATAAAAGATCTTTTCTAATAATAAAATCGTTGAAAAAACTAAGAACAAACTATTTCTATTGAACGAGGTCAAAACAAAACTCTACCTCAAATTGGTATTATTTCCGTTGCTACTTTAACGTTATTGTCATTACCACTTATATGTATCTGAAGAAAAGAAAAAACAAAGCATACGTGGAATATTGCTGCAACTTGCCACACAGCTAATTTTATTTGGGCTGTGAACTTTTTTTCGAGCAAATCTCACAAAATTTCCATAGGGACTTTTTTTTAACAATTCTTTCTATTTCACCTTCATCTACATGTGCATGAGGAAAATGTTGGCAATATAAGACACAGAACACTATTGTGGTAGTATGATAGTTTCCTGATTTTTTCGGTGGGTTTATGGGAGGGAGATTTAAAAACCAGTCAACTATAGCCAAAACAATGACAAAATGACAGGGACAAAAACCAAATATACATTTATAGATAGACATAGACATGACAGCTTAATACCACGGCTCTTGTTATCAAGGTGTTTTGGAAGGAATTATCAAAGCATGGAAAGCAAGAAGCCTCATAGAATTTCTTCTAGAGGTGAGTAAACTTTAGATAGTAGGAACAAAAAATTCTAATAAAGAAATGTTTAATAGAAAACACATTTTTTAGGATAAAAAAGTTTAAATCCTCTCTTATTTCTAACTAATTATAGTCTAGTCTATAATCTAGACTATAATCTGTGTATAATCTAGTACAAAGTCTAAATTATACTCCAAACTGTAGACCAGTCCATAGTCCAGACTTTAGCATAGTCTGTACTCCCGACTATATTCCAGTTTATAGTCCACACTATAGTTCACTCTATAGTCCAGATTATAGTCCAATATATAGTCCTATCGCCTAGCCTGTAGTCCACTCTATAGTCCAGACTGTAGTCCAAACTCTAGTCCAGCCTATAGCATTATATAATATAGAATATAGTTCATTCCATAGTCTAAGCTATAGTCCAATCTATAGTCTAGTGTATAGTCCAAACTATAGTGTAGTATATAGTTCATTCTATGGTCTAGTATATATTCCAGTCTATAATTACTAATCTATAGTCCAGTCTATAGTATAAACTATAGTCTAGTATATAGTCCCGTCTTAAGACTAGTATATACTCACTATAGTCTACAGTTCATACTATAGTCCGACCTATTGTCTAAACTACAGTTTAGGCTGTAGTTCAGACTTTAGTCTAGGCTATGGTCTATTCTATAGTCAAGGCTGTAGTCCAGTCTATAGTCTAAGCTGTAGTCCAGACTATATACCAATCTAAAGTATGGTCTATATTCTAGTCTATGATCTAGATTATATAGTCTAATCTATAGTCCAGATACTGGTTAATTCTATAGTACAGACTATAGTTTACTCCACAGTGCAGCCTATATTTCAGTCTATATTTCAAACTATACCCTAGTCTATAAATTAAATTTTAGTATAGACTATATTCTAGATTGTAGTCTAGACTTTAGTCAAGTCTATAGTCCAGATTATAGTCCAATATACAGTCCTCTCGCCTAGCCTGCAGTCCACTCTATAGTCCAGACTGTAGTCCAAACTCTAGTCCAGCCTATAGCATTATATAATATAGTTCCATAGTCTAAGCTATAGTCCAATCTATAGTCTAGTATATAGTCCAAACTATTGTGTAGTATATAGTTCATTCTATGGTCTAGTATATATTCCAGTCTATAATTATTAATCTATAGTCCAGTCTATAGTCTAGACTATAGTATATATTGTTCAGTCTATAGTCTAGTATATAGTCCAGTCTGTAATTACTAATCTATAGTCCAGTCTATGGTCTAGACTATTGTCTAGTATGTAGTCCAGACTTTAGACTGGTATATACTCACTATAGTCTACAGTTCATACTATAGTCTAATCTATAGTCCGACATATAGTCTAGACTACAGTTTAGGCTATAGTCCAGACTATAGTCTAGGCTATACTCTAGTCTATAGTCAAGGCTGTAGTCCAGTCTATAGTCTAAGCTGTAGTCCAGACTATATACCATTCTAAAATATGGTCTATATTCTAGTCTATCATCTAGACTATATAGTCTAATCTATAGTCCAGATACTGGTTTAGTCTGTAGTACAGACTATAGTTTACTCCACTGGACTATAATCCAGACTGTAGAGTAGTCTATATTTCAAGCTATACCCTAGTCTATAAATCAAATTTTAGTCAAAAGTCTAGTTTTTACTCCAAACTACAGTCTAGTCCATAGAGCAGAATATGTTTTCACCTCTAGTCCGGTTATAGTTAAGCCGAAAGTCTTGAATATAGTCTAGATCCACTAAACAACCGGTTTATTTTAGTTTTCGCTAATAATAACCAACAAATATATTTAAAATTGCATTCTTATTTCGTTTTTTACGCTTACTACATGTAATAACACTATCTGGCAACTTCAAACTAAGTGTGGTGAGTTTGCGTTTGATTTGTTGCTCAGTGGTGGCTTTGTTTATTTCACTTACTACTTCAGTTTATTGTTAAGTGTGTTAAAGCGGAAACGAACTTTTGCAAACAAAAGAAAAGTAAAATGTAATTAAAAAGTTATAAATGAAAATTAATGTTAAATAACAAAATAAATGTGTTGTAAAGGTTAAAGACTAACAGAACTTAAAAAGAAAACAGAGACTTTAAAATATAGTTTAACTAATAAAAGTGTGACAACAACCGTGACCTGCCACTCGGACATTGGACGGCCAATGATGAAGTGAAGCGTTATTTATTTTGTTAAAGTGCTTAATAGATAAAAAACAAATCTAATATGAAATAATTAACAATAAGACTTTCTAATACATATAAGTTTATTTATTAACGAGGCTGCCACCTGCGCCTCACAGTTGCA